AGAGGGCCGCAAGCCATCTCCTCCCATGAGTACATACCACATACTACATAACAATAATCATGCAGAAACATGCGGTGAACATTAATTATCAACAATATATATTGCCAAAATAAGCATATGTGGAACTTCAGAGAACATGGTGTTCCATTCGAAGTCATCAACACAATCGAGAGGAGTTCTGTAGTTACAGCGTGGTAGACAGTGGGTTTAGAATTCAGATCACAGCAAAACTTTACCAATAATCCCCGCATGAACACGATCCATCAACAAAACAATGAAATCTGTTATTATCCCGAATGATTATCTCTCTCCCAGTAATTTTTGAAGTGAGTTTAATAGGCCTCATGACAATCGCCACAAATACGGAGATTTTTAACAACTCGAATCACATCTTTGTCATGGGTACTGATTAGAGCAAATGCAATAGCTAACTTCTCACTATGCCAGCCAAGTAGGTGTTCTTTCTCCTCTTCCTCTATGTCAAAGAGAACAAACTCTGTGGTTGGATTATAACCAGCTTCTCTTAGGTCTTTTGATAAACTTTGAAGCTTCTATATATCTCCTTGGTCAAAGGATGGGATGTGTCCCCTACCAGGAATTCATGGACGACCCCGTTAACTTCAACCCAACTACACCCGCGTACTTTTTGCATCCCTTTCTGATTCATAATTGATCTAATTTTTTCTGCTTCCTCCCAACTGCGATTTGCCGAATATATATTTGATAAGAGAACATAATGCCCTGAATTCCAAGGTTCTAAGTCAATAAGCTGCTTCAGCACATGCTCTGCCAATTGGGTATCCCTATGTAACCTGCATCCCCCCAACAGTGCCCCCCAAACAATAGCGTTAGGCTTCATTGGCATACTATTTATCAATTTGTGAGCTTCATGTAATAAACCAGCCCGGGCTAGAAGATCCACCATGCAGCCATAGTGCTCGATGGATGGAGTTAAAGAATAAACATCGCTCATGCTCTTAAAATACTGACGACCATCTTGGACCAGACCAGCATGAGTACACCCACAAAGTAGGCCTACAAAAGTGTTCTCGTCAGGTTGAATTCTGATTTTTCCCATCTCGCCAAATACTCCAAATGCCGCTTTAACATTTCCATTCATTGCTAATCCTAAAATAACAGCGTTATAGACCACAGAATCTTTTACCTTCATCAGTTTAAAAATATTCCATGCCCGCACCATGCTTCCACATTTTGCATACATATCAATCAAGGCAGTCCCTAAGACAGGATTAGAAAGAAACTCGTTAGCATCTACCAAATCCTTGGCCCAATTTCCATACTCTAGTGCTCCTAATTTCGCACAAGCAGAGAGGACTCCCACCATTGCATAGCAATCAGGTTTCAGATTTTCTCTCTGCATTTGGAAAAACATGTCAAGTGCTTCTTTGGGCAGTCCATTTGAAGCATAACCCTGAATCATAGCACTCCAACAAACGATATCCTTCTCATGAATTCCATCAAATATACGGCGTGCTTTTTCCATGCTTCCACATTTTGCGTACATATCAACCAAAGAGGTGGCAACGAAGACATTCCTATGCATGCCACACTCAGTTATGTATCTATCTATCCACTCGCCGCTATTTAAATCCCCCAGTCGACTGCAAGCATGCAAAACTCGAACAAGAGTAAAACTGTCAGGTCTCAGACCCATCTCCAGCAACCCCCGAAACAAATCAATAGCTTCTTCAAAATGTCCAGACCCTATATACCCACAAATGATGGCGGTCCAAGAAACAACATTTTTATTAGGGATATCATCAAACACCTTTTGGGCATCTACGAGGTGGCCGCATTTCGCATATAAACAAACAAGACTAGTCTTAACAAAAACGTCATCATCAAAACCTGCTTTCACCACAAGGGAATGAAGCTTAACACCCAACTGGAAATTCGAAAGTCTAGCACACGCCTTCAAAACAAAAGGGAAAGTAAAGTAATCAGGCATAATCCCTGATTTCTGCATCGATCCATAGAGCTCAATAGCATCAAGGAAACAATCATTGGAAACCATCCCACGAATCATTGTATTCCACAGATAGATGTTTGGGTGCTTCGTTTGTTCAAAAACAAGTTTGGTATACTCTGTGTTTCTGAAGTCTAAGCAACAGCGTAAGATCATGTTGACAAGGTAATTATCTTCATTTAGGTGAAGGCGGAGAATTTGGGCATGGACATGTTTGAGGTTTTTGAAAGAGTTGAAGCCTTGAAGAAGGCATCTCTTGAGCTCCAATGCCTTAGAAAATGTAGGTGAAGCCGGGTTGCTGATGAAGGACATGGCTTATGTCCTGCCAATTTTCGATCCTGAAGAAAAAAACTCCTCCAATGTCAATTCGCTGAACAAGAATTTGTGGGCTCAGCTGGATGACTTTACTCAGATCCGTTTCCTTGATGCCAACTTCCTCAACTAAATATCTTACTGATGGTTCTAAAGAATTTTCAGCACGAAAAGAAAACAGGGAGGGAGCAGCGACAATGATTTGTCCTACTCTGGAATTTGGCATTCCCAAACCCATAAAAAATGCAACATGAGTTTTTAAATTGTTCTCCATACTCAAGAATTTGTGGCTGTCTCGAAATGATTATTATTACATCTCCATGTTTGACACTAACACTCATTACGTATTCTAACCTTTCCTGTGCAGAACATACATTAATTTGAAGTGAGGACATGTGCCTTTCATATATTTGGATAAAGTGCGACTCCTTCATTCCAGATGTCCTTAAGTAGCCAAAAAGTGGAATCCATTCCTTATCCAAATTTATCTCTTCAGACAATCAAGGATATCTGTTTTCCTTTAAATTTCTACCAACCTGCAATTAAACAAAGAATATGGGGCTCATCAGCTTCAGTTGTACATTAAATGGAATTTTTCACTTACAGCTTATCACATCTCTGTACACCTTTACACAGCCATTTGGTTCAAAGGACCACTTTCTCACTTTTTAACATTTTATGGCTTTCAAATGATCTCATATCCCAACCTTTTTCCTGCTTCCTACATTTTACTGCAAAGAGTCGCATGCAGGATACGCAGCATTTAATTTTCACTTGAAAATAATAATAAAATTCATACAAAGCATACCTTTCATTTTCTGTGAGTTAAATTTCTTGTCATTAAAATCAAAGTCAGCAGGCTCCGCAAGTTCTTCCTGAATACATTCCAAAATGAAAGCACCCGTGGTTACAACAATGCCAAATCTAATGAACTGTTAAAAATAAAGTTACAAGCATACTATTGGTAGACAGAGACAGCATAAGGACCAAGGTCCATAGCTTCACCATAACGAATAAGGAAAAACAAAATATAATGAATAGGCAGGGCAAAAGAACTTGTTCAAATCTTCCTTTAATAATAAGATGGCAAAAGAATTCACATAGTAAGTTCATATACGGTGACTAACTAAATAGAACTGTCCACGGTTTAGAGCAGTGTTGTTACTTGATAAATTTACAAAGAAGAAAACTGAAAGAAGCAGAATCAATTTGGGGCAACAAGTGATTACAGAGTTAAAACCAGTAAGCAACTGAGAAAGAGGAACCTGCTTGCCGACGAGAGACTGACAGAGACAAAGAGACGATGGAGAGATGAGAGACTCAAAGAGTGAGGCGAGCCGCCCAGTCGCTGCCGATGGAGAGATAGACAGACGAAGAGACTGCGGCTGATGGGGCTAAACTTTTTGTTTTTTGGGCTTAAGCTGCTGCCAAGCTAAATGAAGAAAATTTCACAATCTTTTTCTTCTTTTTTATTTTTTTCCCCCAAACATTCATGATTAGAAAGATGTTCTAGTTTTTTTTTTTGGTTAAGGTAAAAATTTATTTCGAAGTTAACACTAGACACGTAAAATTTTTTTTGGATACAAATTAAAATAATAAATTTCTTATTTCTTATCATTAAAAATACTTACGATTAACATTACTATTTTAACCATCAAGCTATAGAAGACAATTTTACTATAATTTTAAACTTTTAAAATAAATTTGTACCCAATAAAAACTTTTAGGTACCTAATACTCTTAAATGAAACAAATTTGCACCTTAACTTTTTCTTTTTTAATACAAGATGTTCTACTTTTGATGCGGAGAAAGACAAGTTTAGTGAGATTTGGGTAAAGTTTCGTGAACTAAAAAATTCATGTTACAAGAGATGTGGTTATATCGCTATTTTAAAATGTTAAAAAAATACTTATTGAATTTTTAAAAGATAAATGGGTTATATTAACTATTGTCATAATGATTTTGACTACTCTTATAATGATTTTAAGAAATCAAAGTCACCTATTTATCATTTTAAAATTGAACATGTATTTTTTTTTTATCATTTTCCCCGGTAACATTTACATTTAGATTAATTTATGTTAAAAAATTACACGGTTGTCCCCGAAAAGGATCACATGAAATTAGCTTCAAATAGTAATTAATAAGATCATACATCTACAATGAACAGTTCAACACATTATGAATTGTTATGTACGTGCGTGCGTCAGATCTGACATAGATATATTGACACAATTACATCTCTTAAAAAAATAATATTACATCAATTAAAAATTATATGGGCAAATCGCTACAATAAAAATTAAGGCAGGAACTTTAATGAAACATGGAAGCTAAAACTGTAATCAAACATTTATCTTCTGAGGCCAAGTTTAGTTTACAATTACCTTGCTACGTATACAACAGAATAGTTGCCACCGAGAGCAATCAGGAAGCATACGCACTACTGACAACTGTACATGAACATGATTTTACTATATATATTACGGTACTGAGGAAAGTTACAAATGATTATGAAGTGCATGATAAATGGGGCAAAAGGCACATTACAGCATTGCAAAATTGGAAATATATGGGACTAAAAAAATTATGCTACCCACGACACAAATATTCACATGCTTACATGAAAAATATATCGAGAGACTGGCGCAGCGCTTGCACGCCGAACCTGACTCTGCACTTTATGGTGAAGTCATTTTCACCCCTGGAAACTGGATCTGGATCAGTCCTAAACCGCAAGCTTGCACTAATGTTCATACATCCTTGTGTCAAGAGGGAGGGGCCGCTTATCATGTATGAACATAGATCAAGATAAAGAATCTCGTATACTCGGGAGGTTTCCTACTTATTACAGGTGAGGATTTGACGTCTGGTGAATCAAGGCAACAATCATGGTGGCAAGACATTCATCAGATGCGAACACCTTCCTTTGTAAGTTCAAGAATCACCCCAACTATCGTCATCATCATCTTCATCATCACTTCCAGCCAAAGCCTATTTTAATCATTAATGTATCAGTAAACTTGAGGAGAACAGAGCCGGCGACAGAAAAAATAAGGAAGAGATACTGATCACAATAAAGCAGAGAGACCTGGCGAATTGCATTTGCTCTCTCCAAAATGGCAGCAACTTTCAAGTTCGTTTTTGGACCTTGAACGTTGGGCCGGGTTGCCACAGCAGGCTTCAAATTGAAAGACTGAGGGAACCAAAAAAGTTATTTAAGTATCATACTGCTCCGAATACAGGGTCAGAAACAAAATCCCAGAAAGGAGAAAAAAGTAGCCAGCTATAACCTTTGTCCTTATCTGTTCTAACAGTGAATCTCTTTCATCTATCTTGGATGCTGTCTCAGGACTAGACCGTTGAGTAACCTTCCTCAGCTGCAGTGGCTCAAAGAAAACGTGTTATGCTAGAATTAAGACCTTTGTAAATATATATTCTGAAAAACCAGGTCATTACCTTGCTCTTGTCATGAGCAGCAACAGCATCAATTAGAGGATTCCGTGGACGGGGAAGCTTATTTTTTGATATTCCATTCGGCTTTTCACCCTCAGTCTCTATTGATGTTGTAGCAGGTATATCCAATGATGATGCCATCTCGCCCTCTAAAGGAGGCAGACTGTGATTGTGTTGCACAACTTCCACGCTTGGCAGCATGGGTGTAACAGAAGGATCTTCTTGTTCCCCTTCCAGATTGCTCACAGAATGCGTAGGTTCTTTAGCTTCTGAAGTAGTCTCTTCTATTAGCTGGCTTGGGGGTTGGGCCAGCTTTTCCTGAGAAGAAACAGGATCGTGTCCCAATGATGATGCCATCTCGCCCTCTGAAGGAGGCAGACTATGATTGTGTTGCACCATTTCCATGCTTGGTGGTGGCATGGGTGTAACAGAAGGATCTTCGTGTTGCCCTTCCAGGTTGCTGACAGAATGCGTAGGTTCTTTAGCTTCCGAAGTAGTCTCTTCTATCAGCTGACTTGGTGGTTGGGCCAGTTTCTCCCAAGAAGAGGCAGGATTGTGTCCAGAAAAGGCACATTCAACAGGTGGTATCGGTGGGTGCAGGTTTGAATATTGTACCATTTCTCTCTCTGATGCAAGAACAAAACCATGTGAAGGCTTGACAGTAGAAACCATGGGAAGTGTTAAGAATGGGTTCTGCATTTGGCTTCTCTCAAGAACTAGGTAATTATATTGACCATTTGCTTCATTAACCATAAAAGGAAATTGCAATGGAACAGCAACAGGATGCCCTGAAACACCCACTGAAAATCCAGAAGGATATGGGATCTTATCACCTTCCACAGCAATGACTGGTAAAGATGTATCCTGATACTGTAAGGTCTCTCTCTCTGAAGATATCAAACCAAATTGACCTTTGTCATCAGTTTTAATTGCCTGGATTGGTTGGAACGAGGCCTGACTAACTTCTGCAACTTCTTCCTTCGAAGCATGTTGAACCTTGCCCCTTCTCCATTGCATAGGTGGTAGAGGGGGCATAGGTGGCATCTCCCCGAGATTGATGTCAGATCCTGGTAGAATGGGATCCGGAAGAGGTTTCAATGAATCCATAACATGTTTTGCAACATTTAACCCCGGGCCATCTGGCTGTGATAAGGAATTGGACAGTGATGGTTGATCTCGATGAATTTCATCAGCAGATTCAGCAGCAAGAGATTTCCTTTCTTGCCCCAGTTGACAAGATACATGCATACGCTCAGATTGAAATTTCTCTGAGCCAGAATTTTCAACTCTGAGAGGAGAATCTGCTCCTTGTTGACCAGCTCCCGATTGTAAGAACTGCGCTGGAGTTTCCATTACCAGCTGGTCTTTGGATGACAATGGCAAAGCACTATTCTGGCAAGATGAAGATTCCAATTCTTGAGTGGCTGGCTCTGAAAACTCTGGCACCATCGATAAATCATTGGCAGAAGAAATATGATGGTGTTTTACATGAAGAGGTGCATCTTGAACACTATTAGATGTTTCTGAATCAGAAAGATCATGAGATTCTGCTCTGTTCAGATTTAAACCAATGTCAGCTGAAGCAACTTCTGTTTGACTCACAACCTTCTCCACCTCCAATTCCGTCAAAGATTCTCTAGCAACTTCCTCGTTAGATATTTCATTTACAAGTGGACCACTAAAACTTGAAGGAGATTCTTCCAAATTTGTAGGATCTCTCAATGAAGAAGATATAATATCAGAAGAAATTATATATGAAGACGATTCCAGCTGATTTTTCGTACTCTCTGCATTCATGTCTCTGAAAATTTCACTTGATTCAGCTTCATTGGATTCCATTTTTAACTGACAAGAATCTGAAGAAACTGGGAAAGTTTCCAGTAAATTGTCAGCTTGATCTTCTGATTGAACTTTCTCAGTGTAAACATTATACGCATCACCATTCCCCATCCCTCCAAAACCAGGAGAAGATGGTTGTTTAAGATGGCCATCATCTTCAACTGCATCCACACTGCAGGTGGATTCACTTTTATCATTGTCATTATCCATCCTCGATGTCTCTTCAGAATTTGATAGCCGATCAGAGTACAAAACTTCTACTCCTGCTGAATCTGGTTCATCTATAGGATGTTCATGAGTAAAATAGGAGAACTGCTCCCTTGCCAAGCTACTTGACGGTGGAGTCTCCACTGCAGGGGATGAATCTTGACAGTCAAGTTTGCTAGCTATAATACAACTCTCATCTTTTGAATCTAAGACCTCGGCACCATCAACTGGTAATGCAGCACCTGAATACAGGTCTACTTCCATAGATGGAGAATGCCCCTGAGGTGAATTGACCCCTTCACCAGCCAAACTTTCATCATAGTTTTCCTTTGAAAGTCCATCCTGCAAGATTTCGATCTTAGAATGATTGCTGCATTCATCTGCAGGAGCCAAATTTAGGTCATTAGAAGTGTGTTGTGAAGCATCAGAATGGACATACAGTTCACCATTGTCCAAGTTCAAAGAATATTCTTTGAAAGAATCCCCAGGGCAAGTGTCATTCTTGGTTATAGAGAAAGCATTAGATGTTGCTGAAATAGATTCAACTTGACAATTACTTTGTTCATCATCTTCAAGTTCAACAGGCTCAGATGGTGTTTCAACTAACTGCGTCTCTGTAGGCATGACTGGTGTTAGTTCCAAGTCGTTTGAAATCGGCAATGAAGCATCACAAGGGGCATAAGGATCACTTTCATCCAAATTGTTCAAAGGACATTCTTCAGAAGAAGACACAGGGCCAGCACCATTCTTTGTTGTGGAGAGAGCATCAGGTACAGCAGCTATACACTCAACATGACACTTCCTTTCCTCATCATCTGCTAAACTTGAATGAATTTCAACAAGGTCAGATGGTCTTTCAACTGATTGTGCTTCAGGGGAATTGATAACTGGTGCCAATTCCAAATCAACTGAGCTCTGTATTGAATCACCGGCCTGAACACAAGGATCACCATCGTCTAAGTTGCTTGACGGATATTTTTCAGAAGACACAGGAGGAGCATCATCCGTCACTGTGGAGACAGCATTAGGCACAACAACAACATTAGGTTCAACCAGACACTTACTGTCTGTATCAGCTAAAGTCGAATGAAGCTCAACTGTGTCAGATGTTTGAATAATTTGACTCTCTGTGGGTTGGATCACTGATGAGTTGACTCCAATATCTGAAACTAGATGTGCTGAATGCATCGAAGGTGAATCAGTGGCGGTCCATCCAGAATCAGAAATCTCTTCTTCCTGAAACTCTGCATCATCATGCTTGACAAACTTGTTACAATCTGGCTTTTGAGACTCAACGCTTTGGGGAAGATGATCAGAACGTGTATTTTCAATCTCATGTTCACAATATTTAGTAGATGAGAGTGATAAACGTTCTGATTTAATATCTTCAACCGTGACATTGAAAGGTTCAGGATGAGAAAAGCAGGATGTATCTTTTTGGTTCAAGACAATTTTTTCTGATGCAGATGAGTTTCCAACAGATTGAGAATCTGAAAACTGAGCATGCATAATCATATGTTCTTCACCTGTATCTCTTTTGAATGAACTATTTTCCTCCATTGTGGAGGACGTTCCAATTGATTGAAAATCGGACAACCGAGCTTGGAGTTCATTATGTTCATCGCTTCTATCTTGTTTGAATGAACTACTTTCCTCTGACATGGAGGAGTCCCCAAATGATTGAGAATTTGAAAGATGAGCTCGTAGTTGATGTTCTTTGCCATCAGAATCTATTAACCTTCGACCATTCAAGAAGCCATTCTTAGGTCTATACTCATTGTCTGTTTCCATCTCCGAATCCATCGTAGTTAGAGCATCCACATAATTGTCGACCTCACTTGCGGCATCATCAGAATGGTAACAATCTAAGCAGGCTTCTAATTTCTTTTGTCCATCATCTGTCAGTTCTGTTTCATCAGGTGTCTCCTTATAATTATAAGACAATTCATCTGTCACATTATCAAGCATTTGTTCATGCACCTTCACAAGACCTCCATTGGTCTCCATCTTTGTTTCTGAGAACGGTTTTAGTTCTGAATCTGGTTCATTAGAATATGAAAGTGTGTTTTCATTTCCTAATGACCTTTTCACAGGACTAACCATGCTAATTTCAAGTACTTTAATCCTTGCTTCACTAGTATCTTGTGACACTGATTTTATAGGCATTGGAGCTATTGAAGTTTCTCTAACCATCTTATAACCTGGTGAAGCAGATTCCAGAAATTTCTCCATGTAACTTTTCCCATTTTCTGCATCAACTCCAGATCTATTCAAATGTCTTCTCTTCAACTTGACAAGACGTGCAGGATTACTATAAGCATTTTCAACACGCTCCTCAAGAAGCAATTGATGCAATCTGCAACGACAAAAATCAAATCGTGTCACCACTCAAATATTTAAAAATGTTTTGCAATTGAAAACCTGATTAATAAATTAATACACCAAAATGAGTTTCTTTGGAGCTCACTCACTTTGCATGTGTTGGGACAACTTCAGGGGTTTCACCATTCCTCAATCGTGCTGCTTTTTTCTGCCAGAAATAAAAGAAATAATCAGATCTTGCAAGTTGTGAACATTCAGCATTCCATTCGTAGAATTGTTTCAAGCACAATTTACAAGGAAAAGGAACGCATGCATGAACAATGAAAGTTGAAAAAGTAGAGCCACAATCTAATATTTTAGACACTTATATGTGAATAGATCAAAGACACCGCATGAGCACAGACCACATTATTCATAACATTCCACTATGTTTACAAATGGTGTAGCAAGAGTGATCACCCAAAAAAAAAAACAAATGGTGTAGCAAGAGCGCTGATACCAAGACTCAAGGCAAAGACAAGTAGTTCTCTCAAAGAATTCTCAAAATCATCCACTCACTCTCCGGTTTTCAACAATACCAGTCAGAGTAGTTGGAAGCTTAAGTTATGTTCACACTGTTATAACCAGAAATAGCAGAATCAACTACCTTCTATGACAGCCCTACAGAACTAATTCCAAGTTCTTTTGGTCTTACTTGTTTCTTACTAAGATCAATACCACAGTATGAAGCCAGCTAGGATTACTGTATTAAGAAAAACCGAAGGTACAGCCACCAACTAAAGCAATATGTCACAAAAATAATGTCATTAAAAGGTAATTGCCATTGGCGCATAAAAAGGGAAGACATGGCAATTTAATACCTTCACTCTACGGCTCCTCTTTTCCCTGTGAATTTCAGCAGTTGTAGTTTTAGAGGAAGCTGACTCTTTAAAGAATGATGGGTCAGTATAACGCTTCAAGCAACCACCAGCACCAGCCACATCGAATCTATTGGAAGGCAAAAAAGAACAATTCAAATACTTATTACATAAATATTAATTTAAAACAGCTTCTTAGACAATCAGATCTCCATACTTGTCCAGGAGGAACAATCTTGGAGGGCCACGACAGTCTTCATATGAATCCATTACAAATCGAGGTAAGTCTTCTCGGGTAATAAGATTCTGTTCAGAACGAAGATTAGGATGCCAATCAATCCCTGCAATCCAATAACCAATGGCTTTAAAAACTTGCCAAGGGACTATAGCACCTAAGGGTTACAAGTATGACATAAAAACTCTAAAAATTTGACAAGAATAACATTTTTCATATTATTTTGATAAGAACATCATAAACCAAAAGACTACGAAATAGTAAGTTATATTACCTGCATTAGAGAAAAAAGATGAATGATGAGTCTGGGACAAAAATGCCTTTTCAAGCGAAGGAACTTCAGCCTCCAGCTGCTGAACCCGAACCATAAGACCATGGCCTCTTGCAGCAGTGGCCATTACTTCTTCATGCAAGTCATGAAAGACCTCCGCTGCAAACCTAAACAAAATACATAGTTAAGTACATAGAACTTAAACAGCACCAGGCTGGCAAGCTGAGGATTGACGAGTATAAGATTGAGCCATAGCACTTCCTTTTATACCCGCCAACCAAATATAATGTTACCGAGTTATAAAATGGCCCATGACATTGCAATTTGTGCTTCTATGTGTATGCCTTCTTTTTCTGAAGACTTCATTATCAGAAGCAAACAATAACTTGTAATGCCACTCAGCATATCACAAAAAGATGATGATGAAGACATTCAAAAGAATGCTTACAGAATACGAAGAGTTTGAAAGCACTTGCTAAGTAGAACTCAGTGTCTCATTAGACCAATCTAGTCTGAGCATGTACCATAAAGTAAGGACTCTGCATCTTATTTGAAATATTCAACCCAAAGCACCCAGTTTGCCAGGTCACAGGTTTCTCAGCTTCAGTGACTTTGGAGTAAATCAACACTAAGAGTGTCGAGGAAGGGATTCAACCAAAACAGAAACAGAAGATAATACCATCCACAAAACATTACCGGAACACTTAATTAGCTAGTAATCAATTTATTTTTAACAACTTCTTTTCTCTCTTTAATTTTCTTTTCTTTTCTTTTTTCCCCCTTTTTGTCTCAAACACTTGGCTTTCAAATTAAGCATGTCTGGACAAATTTTACCAAGAATTTTGTTGGTTTTAGAATTTTAGTCTAGGCTTATTGAATAAAATCCATACTAGTCCAGCCTTTAGAAGATTAACTTGCAGAAACTTTCCGTGGCCACACACAACATATTCTAAACCCCAGAATTTGAACTAGCCCGTCAATGTAAAAAAAGAAAAAGATTCTGCAACTTACGAGGAATTGAAGGACATGAGATTGTGCAGGAAGGCGATTATCAAGAAAAAGGAGAATAGTATTCAAAGAGTCATAAGATGAAACAAGTTCAAATAGATTGAAAAATCCAATCGTCGGACAGAGTATTGAGGAAGACTAATCTCTCCACGCACCACAAGCACCAAACGAAAAAGCCATTTTCCTCCAATTCCGAAATGAACCCAACCGGTCATCGATCTAACAATCAAACAAAATAAAAAAAGGAGCACACAAACGAATTCTCACCAAATTAAAGCTCTCTCCAGTAAGTCAAATGAGGGTCAGTATAAAGTTAAACACACAGATTGTATCAAAGTAGATAGTTTTTCAAACCAACACCAATTCAAATAAATGTAATCACGAAAAGTGCAAGAGCAGCCAGTTTAATTCCAGAGCTGAGGCGCGGCCGAAATCACAAAAGGAAGAAAGTGTGTGCGCGCGCGTGTGAGAGAGAGAAAGAGAGAGAGCTCACTGAGCAAGGTCGCCGAGCTGGCGCAAGACGCCGACGAGGCCAGCCATGGCGACGCCTTCCAAGAGAGCTTCTGGATCATCTTTATCGGCAGCTCGGTAGAGCTCCGGATCCGCTAAGCTGTACTCATTCCTTATCTGATACCTAGCCAGCGGCATTCTTGCAATTCAGCAACAGAAAACCCTAATTTGTGAGATTACTTGGCTCTGTCGTTGGATCTTCCGGCCAGTCGGTTGCTTGGTTCCACCATGGGAGAGAGAGAGTTTGGAGGAAATGGGAATGAATGAAGAAGGGAGGTGCTGCAGTGAGAAACGAGAAGCAGTGCGAAGTTATATTTTTTGATATTTAAGCTGGTTAAAAAAATTAAAATAAAATAGGTGATTCTGTTTGTGAATTTCCGTGGGGAAAGTGGGCGCGCATCCTGGCGCTCAGATACGTATTGGATCGTGTTCATACATATTACACGTACCGCTGCTTTCGTATAACCGCAATCCTCATAAAATGTAATTATTACTATGGAGGTGGTTCTCTTCCATTGATGTCATCCATCCCATGAAATTTGTTGGCAAAACAAAAACCCCCTATGAATTTATTATTAATTTTATATTTTAAGATTCTCGAAATATTCATGGAATACAATTAATTTTAGAATTAATCCATATATATTAAATTATTATTTACCTTGTTTATTTATATAATTGACGATGATGAGGTCATAATTTTTCCGCTTTTCAGTAAATAATTTACTCGCAATAAAAATTAGATGTATGTAAATATTTGAAATCAGCTCGGGATTAATAGTTTATAACAAGTTCATGTCATTGAATTTAGTCAAAAACAACTTATTATTATCAAGCGGGTGAGATATTTTATTGGGCAATTGTGCAATATTTTTCCAACAGTTAATTGTGCAATTTATTATAATCAGCACACCCTATAGATGCTAGTAATTAGCCATCTTGTTTCCTTTTGGTTTGTTAAAAATTGAAAAATAGCATGTGTTCTCAATATGTGGTAGTATATAATAAATACATCTTCTCATTGGCGTCTTCTGTTTGCCATGTTTCTCGATTCATCATAGCTTCATACACCCAAGCCATATGCGATCAGATTACCGTTAGTAATTCGGAAGTTAACCACGTACTAATAAGATAATGCATGTGGACACATACATAATCACATCACGGAGTCACATGCCTATCTGAGGAAAAATATTCTTATTATTATCATTATTATTATATTGTATAATATGACTTTGACCAAAAGGGAATCAATTACTACCTCGGGTCTTAACCCTGTTTGACTTTTATTTTGGTCATAAATATAAGACCTAAATTCACTTTATCTCTTATATTTACTTAATTTTTTTTCAAAATAACCCTTCTAATAATTATAGTTTTAGTCAATACACTTGATTAGTAAGAATATTTTAGGAAAGATAACACATATTTAGAACAAATAACTAACTCAACTTATTTCCTTAATCTTCTCAAATTAGTCAACTGGCTCTTAGGACCGGAGGTAGTATTATACTACTACAAAGGTTTTTGAAGGATAAAATAAAAGAGAACAGTAAACAGTTTTAATTGGATATTATCTGGGGACAATATAGAGAAGGCGACGAACTATTTGGTGTGGACGGTGTATGTTGTTTGAAAGAGCTGTCGAGTAATGGACAGATGAACCGTGAAGAGCTTAAGGGAAATAATTCTGGGAGGCTGGGGCCCAACGGATTAATTGTGAGCCTATTAATTGTTCTAATCATCTTATTGCCAAGGTCCCCACAAATGGTCACATGCTCATATCAATCTCTTTAATTAAACCACAGTTGCCTCTTTTTCCCAGTTTGCTCCAAAATAAAACCATGTCAATGCACTTTATTTGGGGGTGTGCTTTTTTGTGTAAGGTGATTTGATGGTGAACTGAGTTGAGAAGGAGACGGAACTTTTGGGAAACCTCAGAGAAGGAAAGGGGAAGCTTCAGTTATGGTAGGTATGGCAATCTTAGCTCCGCTAGATATAAAGGCGGCCGCATGTGAAATCCACAACACCTCTTCTTTTCTTTATTTTCACTATAATTATTGAAAAACTTTTAATAAAAACTTAAACCCATGTTACGTCCCATCCTTTTCAATCCCCACCATCATTTGACTTTTCTATCTTCAATTCCTTTTTAACCCATTTATATATTCCTATCCCTCCTTTCCACTTTCCTCCCCATGCTGTACAATATCACAAGCCAATATTCTGTCCCCAGTATTTTCATTTCAACTGGTTTGTTTCCAGGATTAACTTTTGACAAGACAGAAACGTTATGCTGGAAACAGCTACACACACAGCAGAGTGTTTAATTGAAAAATCTGATGCTTTCTTGTGTGTTCTAGCAATTTAAAGTTGTCTTGTTTAAAATTATTTATTCTACTCCTCCGGTCCTTAATATAAGACTCATTTAACTAATTTGATTAGATTAAGGAAGTTAGGTAAGTTAGTTAATTATAAGAAATGTGACACGTTTTTCATAAAATATCACAATCATCTTTCTTAATACCCCTTCTTTCTCTTCTACTTGATTATAGTTGAGAGAGTATCCATAGGGGTAATTTAGAGAAAACTGATAAATATGAGAAATGGGTCTTATATTTAGGATCAAAACCAACTCAAGAATTGGGTCTTATATTAAGGACCGGAGGAGTATCAATTTGCTACATAATTGAGAGGGTTAGTGGATGATTTAATGCGTAACGTTTGGATTTTAATTTGTTCAAGACAGCAATTAGTTGCTTTTATTTTTCAAGTCTTTTTGTGCCTTCTACTTCAAGCATTTCACTTAAAATCAGAAACAATGTCTACACTTTGTTCACAAGTTGACAAAATATACAACATTACTTTATGCAAGTTATAAACAGCCCTTTCCTTTTGGCTTGTTTTTAATATTTTCTTATAGTTTTAAAATATACATGCTTGCAGATTGGCCAATATGATCCAAGGGAAAAGTTCATCATATGCTTGCAAGTATGACTAACTATTAAAGCCATCGAGAATAATAAATTATTATTAACCCGCTATAAATAATACTCTTCCGGTCCTTAATATAGAACCCAATTGGTGAGTTGGTTTTGATCCTAAATATAAGACCCATTTCTCATATTTATCAATTTTCTCTAAATTACCCTTATGGATACTCTACCAACCATAATCAAGTAGAAGATAAAGATGAGGTATTAAGAAATATGATTATGGTACTTTAGGAAAAATGTGTCATATTTCTTATAATTAACTAACTTATCTAACTTTCTTAATCTAATCAAATTAGTTAAATGAATCTTATATTAAAAACCGGAGGAGTAATTATTTTCATAGCTTGAACAGGGACTTGAGTGACGTCTGAGCAAATTAAAGACTTGAACTGAGAAGGAGAAGACTTTCTTAGTTCTTGTGAAGTGGCCGGGGCGTTAGTTGGCTTCGTCTTCGGGATCGATTTTCGTGCTTATGGTCAATTTTTTCAAAACAAACAAACTATAACCCTTTTTCTAAAATACGTTTAAAATATTACACGATGTTTTTTCATATTTACACCTGTCAATAAAAATTGTAAGAAATTTTTTTGTATTAAAATAGAGCTATAATTATAAATTTATATTACTTATATATTATATAACTCACATATATATTAATGACGTATCTTATCAATATTTAAGATGTTTGAAATTTGAAGTAAGAATTTTAATTATTGGACAGCCTCTATTTTAAACAAAAATAAATGTTGTTCACTACCAAAAAAAACATATGATTAGCGATAGAATAGTAATGGATTAACGACGGAATCATATTAGCTGTGTTGAAAGTCTATCTAGAAGAGCCTACACGTATTCTTATATTTAGAAAAATGAATGAAGATATGATTCAAACAAGTATTTTTGCTAAGACGATAAGAGTTTTACCATGTGTGATATAGTAGTAGAGAATATTTGGATTATTAATGTATAACTTTAATCTTCTCTAACTCATTTATTATTTTTCTTTCAGCACCTATTAAATGTGATCTTTTGTGACACAAATGATTAAAAAGGAGGAATAGTTTAGAAAATCATCACATATTCTTGTTATAAATAATTTACTTTGCATTGGTATAAATTAGTTATAAGCTTTTTTTGGGAATAGTATTATTTATGCCCACAAAAGATTCCGTTGGATTGTAACCTTTTGGAATACTCAATCCAAATAGTGATCAGGCTTGAGGAATAAGTTAAGAGTAACATAATCACGGGGCGGAAGAAAAAATTTGTCGCATTTGTACAAGAGAACATGTATTTAATTAAAACGGAAGCATCAAGAAAAATAATTCCGATGAATGGGGTCCACCTGCACCCCACTTGGCTTCGGATCCTCCTACTTTGGCATCAGAATATATTTCTCAAACGTTATTATATATTTACACATGATACTTTATCATATGCTATTTCGATATGCCATAACTAAGCATATTAACGGAAAAAAGTAACAAGTGCTAGTTAACAATGTGATATCTGAGTATAACTTTCCACATTTCTCCCTGTGAGAATAAATGAAATCTTAAAAATGGATTTTTATTAATTGCCTATAATAACTTGATAATAATTTACTATGTCTCCCTATGGATTTTATTATATATATTTTGATACATTGTTCCTTGCTTGTTACCATTTGTTTTATGTATGCTTTTTATAATAATAAAAAAGAGGCTTTACAAGTTTTCGTTGCTATATTAGAAAGCCTCATATGCTGAAAAGATTTACCTCTATTGTTGGATTGTTGTGGAAAAAAATTCACACACACACACACGCCACCAGTTAGCTCAAAATTATCTTTTAATTCAAAGTCTTCAAATAATTATGATGTGCCTGTATATCTTTTCTTTGATTAATCCATTTCTATCTTATGCGGTACCTTTTTCGTTATTTATTCACATTTATTTCAATAAATCTTCCATTGAAGTGTAATCTTTTCACCTATATACCTCCTTGGCTCTCTCCCTTATTCAATTTTCCTAAAAGTAATTTTTTTATTTTCATTCTTATTACTTAGACTTGATCCCAACAATTATAATTATTAAGACTTCTACATAATGCTAGCTAGGGCTTCTTTTAGGTTTTAATATTGGATTGTTTATATTTTCTGCGTACCACAAGAAAATGATGTAAACTTGACTTTAAAGTTTGGAAAAGCTTTCTAGGGAAAGACTTGGTATTTAAACTTGGCAACAAACAATGGGGCATGGTAGTGCTCTGTTTAAAGTTAAGTGTGTCATAAAAATTAGTGGAATTAGTTATAGTGCTATATA